CAAAGCTTCAACTGGGAAATTTTACCTCATCCACCATATTTGCCAGATATTGCTCCCAGTGATTATCATCTTTTTCGGAGTTTGCAGAATTTTTTAAAAGGAAAAACTTGAGAATGAGAACAATGTAAAAAAGGCTATTTTTGAATATTTTAATTCAAAACCGAAATCATTTTACAAAGACGGGATTAAAAAGCTACCATCAAGATGGCAAGAAATTGTACAAAATAATGGTGAATACATTATAGATTGAAATAAAATTTAATTAAAATTTTTTGTTGCTTTTTTGTAGATAAAAATGCGCACGAACTTATGAACTGACCTGATAGATATGTAGATAGATAATGAAAAATCCTTCAACGAGTTGCTTAACCTTTCCAATACCATTTAGTGGCATCATCTGTTATCATGTTTTATTTTAAAAATTTTTATTTTTTTTTATTATTATAAAATGGGGAAAATCTTAATTTTTAATGTACAGGGATTAGTTTTCTAAGACATTGTAAATAGCAATAACGAGTAAAATCGTCAAATTAATATACATTTAAGAATATAAAATAAGAAGTCTTTTGATGTCTTTTCTCACATTTTAGGAAAATAACAGTCTTACAAAGTAAAATCAAATATCAAGAGTAAAATCGTGATTATGTAAAAAGAAATTGAAAAAGAAAAGAGTTGATGTACTTATATATAAAATGACTAAACTGTAAAGCTTTTCTTCAATCCTTTACTTCCTGTAAATTTAAATTATTGAACGAATATATTTTTAGTAAACAAACTTATTTCACTAAAACTGCTATACTTGAGAGTCTGTCTTTGCCTGTTTATTCTGCTCACAAAAGAGAATAAAGTTTGTACTTTAAAGAAAAAATATATTTTATAAGGTGATTTGAAATATCTTTAATATTCTTATCGATTCGTATAAAATATTGCATTTAATAACATAAAAAATAGGGCTTGAAATAATAAATGAAATTTATTGGGAATAAATATAACAAACATGTTATATTTAGAATTAAATTTAATTGCTAAAATTTAAAATTTTATATTTAATAGTGGAGTGATTATATTATTCGAATATAGTTTTTAAATTGCATGTTAATAACCTGCGTGACTAGTTAAAATACACGTCAGGTATCATCAGAATGAAGATAATTTTGCAATATTTTTTTGAAATTTCGCTAATTCAATTTGAGTTTTTTCCAAGGCAACGATCTTCAAATTTCTACATAAATGTAATACTGTTTTAACTATAATACTAAGTATTTTATTTTCTAAATCTCAAAGAAAATAGTAAATGTTCATTTGAGTCTTTAAACGTTGTTGGCACGAATATCAATCATTATTTTAAGCGAAGAGAAGTACACGTTACCGTTTATTATAGTCACGGACATTATTTCCGTGAATAAATACAACGAAGCCTGTTTGTAAAAGAAACATGCCAAACCTGAAAAAATAATGGTTCTGTTCTCGTTCGGCTCTCTTAATTATCCAGCTCCACTCGTCTGTATTAGGCAATGTTTCTGATTCTTTGTAAAAGAATAGACAAGTCAAACAGCACGTTTTTGTTGTTCACATTATTCAGTATAATTTGCCATCATCCATTGCCATCTTGTTACAATGAATTTTTCTTTTCTTCTTACTCTAATGTAATTTTTACTATTCTCGTATCGCAAAAGCAGAATAACAATTTCATTTGCAACGATAAAGTAATGCATTTTCTACTATTGTATTCCGATAATAGCGTGTGTAAGTTTGTTTGTTACTTGGGTTTAATGTAAATGAAAATTAAAGCGAAGTCATGCAGGTATAAGCAGACATACTTTATAATTCTAACAACAGTTTACATGAATAATGCAGTTTTTATTAAATATTTTATTAATTAATTATAACAAGAGAATTTCAAATTATGTAACCTATTTTATTAGTTATACTAAAGAAAATCGATAATCTGAGATAAGTTAATATAAAGATGCCTACATTATGTGCATTTTGAATAAATGCTAAAGTGTTTAACTCTAACCAATCTTAATATCTCGATTATTATAGTATAAAAATTTAGAAAAAGAAGAAATAATCGGAAAAATTTCTAAATTTTATATATAGAGTATATACTATGAAAGCTCATGTTATATGATGGTCCTTATGTGCTATACAGTTCATGCAACTTGTAATCGTATAAGCTTTAACTTTTAAATATCGTTGTCTTAAAAAGTTGTTTGGTTCACTTAAAATAATGTGCTTTAATAAAGTTCATTAAAATCCCGATAAGTTTGATACATCTGGGTGTAACGAATTAAATGTAATTCAATGATAAGGAAGAAATTTCATAACTTAGAAGATATAATGTACTTACACGAAGAAAGATTATTAATGCTCCACTTGAATCTTTTTCAGCTGTCAGTTTGATGATTGTGTGATTTTATTTATAGTGATCAAAATAAATTCGAATACGAATTCTTCTAGTGGATATATTATCTTCACTCGTTTATTCTGCGCACCACACAAAATAATGTTTATGCTTTCACAGGAGAGTATATTTTATAAATTTACTTCAAACGTTTTTAATAATTACCATTGATCTGTATAAAATACTGCATTTAATATCACAAATGATAAGATTTTGGATAATAATTGTAATTTATGAACAATAAATAAAGCAGAGTGAAAGTTTTAAGATTGCGTTAATTTTTTTTCAATAAAGTTTTATATTTAATAGAGTCATTATATTATTCGGATAAACAATCTGGAGTCAATAACAACGAGCGTGACCACTTTTCATACACGTTAGGTATTATGAAAATCAATTAATATCATTATGTAATATTATTCACAAATTTAGATTCAGATATTTTATTTGAAATTTCTCTAAATCAAGATACTTTACATTTATATCTAAAAGGAACATTTCTTTGATAATAATTGTCAGTGAGCCTTCGCAATGTTTCCGGACAAATCACAGAACAAAGCATAAACAATCCTGGTTACTTTTAATATAAAATGAACCAATACAAGGTGAACAGATAAAAAAATCGTCATTACACCATGCAATACGTATAAGCTATCTTTTCGTCCTTTTTCCCACTCGTTTTAAAAACCAATTAAAAAAATAAATAAATAAAAAACGTTATACACGCGCCCCCTGCCCAAACATACATTTTTTTCTGAACTAATACGAATGATACCGAACAATAATACTGAATATGTTTTTTTAAGAAATTCCGAAGAAAAATGTTTTTGAATTAAATGCTAAAATTTGCATGTCGTGTTAACACGCACAGAAGTACAATTTAGCATTTTATTATACATAATAACGTGCATTTCATCTGTTATTTAGTAAGGCATTTAAATACAGTAAAACCTGTCTAAAACAGAACCTGTTAAACAGGAATGCCTGTTTAAAAGGAAAAACT